CGGAAGATAGTAGTAGCGGTCGCGGAGGAGGTGGCTCAGAGAGTGGTAGTGAGACGACAGTAGGGGACACGACGGTGACTCGCGCGCGCGACACGACGGAAGAGAATCGGCAAGGACTAATAAACGCGTACGTGCGATGTTAGCCGTTCGACGAGCTCTCGCGACGTGTTACATTCTTTCTTCCTCGTGCGCGCGTTCCCGCGTCACGCCGATGCGAGTTGGAGAATCGTGCCAAGCTTCTCGGTAAATCGCGACGCGATATCCTAGAAATTTTTAACCCGCGGGCAATAATCAACCGCATCATGTTCTGGACGAATAATTACGTGTCATCGCCGCATATAGAGGCACTGCTCAACAAAGAGGCAAGTTCCCCCCGAGCATTTTTCCCTTTCGTTCTCTCGACTGGGCGGAAAAAGCTTCTCCCCTCTTCCGCCCTCCTTCTTCTCCCTCCCACATCATCGTCATCGGACGGTATCTAATGTCGTTATTCGCGGTTGCAGGATGTCACGCTGTACGAGTTGATGGACGAGGAGGACATCCTACAGGAATGCAAGAGTCAGAATAAAAAGTTGGTCGAGTAGTAAGTAGAAATATTGATGTTCTCTTCAGATTCAAGTTTGCGTCAAACGAATTTAGGCATGGCATATTTGTTATGACAAAAATTATATCAATGTGTAATTGACAGTCTTACGAGGCCTGCCGTTATGGAAGAATTGGTGACATTAGCTACTAAAGAACCATCCACGGACGTTGAGGAACGTTGGCGTTACAAGTATCCTAATGTCGCCTGCGAGTTGCTCACATGCGATGTGCCTACATTGAATGAGAAATTGGCAGGTATTAGAAATATTTTTTTATTCTTTATATAAATGAGAGAGTACTTATTTATTTAGAAAATTGTGTAAATTTTGTTAATGTGCATCCTGAAATTCTTTTATAGGTGATGAGGCACTTTTGGCCAAATTATATTCTTTCATAGATACTGATCAGCCTCTAAATCCACTACTTGCATCATTTTTCAGTAAAACTATTGGAGTGCTTGTTGCGCGTAAAAGTGATCAGGTAATCATATATATACATTTTTTATTTATACATAGAGAAAAAGATATGAATTTATATAATTTATATTTAGATGAATTAGTTGTGTGTGTCTGTATGTGTGTAAACATTTTTAATTACGACAATTTTCTTTGTGATTTTGATATAAAAGCTGATATGAGACTGATTTCAAGCTATTAGCAAATAATATTAGTCAAATAATAAACTTTTTTTCTCTTACCTCTCTCCTATGTTATCTCTCCATATACTTATCCATCCTATATTTCCATCCATTCCAGAATTGGTATTCCTATCAGTTCACATGCTTACAGGTTTTAGAATTTCTTAAAAGTCGCCAGAGATGCGTAGATTTACTGTTGCAACATTTAGAAACTTCTGCTATTATGGATCTAGTACTGAAACTTGTTACTCAGGTCGAAGGCAGCGATATGCGTCAAAACATATTGAATGTAAGATATTTTTTTGTACAAATTATTCTAGTATATTACTATATTTACATAATAGTAGACTAGATAAAATATATATATATATCTTTATCTAATATATTATATATTTGTGCTTTTTTTTCTACATATATGTGTATCTTTGATAGTGGTTAGATAGTCAACATTTAGTGCAGAGATTGGTAAAGTTGTTAGCACCTACTTCAGAATCTGCCAAACATGCCAATGCAGCACAGTTACTTTGCGATATGGTGGCAGTGGCCAGAGAAAATCAACGTACATCCACAGAGCGTACTGATCCAGATCCTATTTTAAATACTCTAGAATCGTGAGTATATCTGTAAATGTACAATTAATTATTACAAGTTTTACACGAATATTCAAGCAATAAATGTTCTATTACAGAGGAGAAACTGTGAGCCTATTATTAGAAACTATTCTGACTGGAGAAAAAGTAGAAACTAGTATCGTTGGTGGAATACAAGTGCTTTTGGTACTTCTAGGTCAAAAAGCTAGCAAGTATGACGAGAATATTTTATAACGTCAAAAAATTGCATTTTATAGATAATATAAAGCACAATATATAATAATACAAATTATCTCTCGCAGTGTGTCAAACGAGGGAGACATACATGGTAATGGCGATGACATCGCGGATAATGAGCAACGTATTAAAATTTCGAATGCTATTTTACCGTATTTGGAACATCTTCACAAGCTTCTTTTGGATCCGCCATATGTAAGAAAACAGTTCCCAACATTTTTTTATATAAAAATATTGTTTGTTTTTTTAAATACAATATATATATATATACATACAATGTATATATGTATATGGATTACCTTTGTAGAAACATAATTATTAGTAGAATAGTTTATTTTATATTACATTTTAAGAACCACCAAATTTCTGTTGCACAGAAACCTGCCGTAAAAACAACCATTGGACTTTTAGACTGTCCATTAGGGAATACTCGTTTGCATGTAGCAAAGTTGTTAAGTGCATTATTGTCGACGGAAAATTTAAAGATCCATGAAAGTTTAGCAAATTTGGGAACATTCCAAACATTATTGGTAAGACTGCATTACAAACTTATATTTTAAGTACTATTGTTATTTCGCCACTTTAATTACTTACTTATATTCCAAATGTCACAGGATCTGTTTTTCAAATATACATGGAATAATTTTCTACACACACAAGTACAACAGTGCCTGGCCTTAGCTATTAATTGCGGAAATCGGGATAATGATATTATTTATAATAATGTAAGTTGCACGCCTCTTATTGCATGGAAAACATTAAATAATTCGATCGCATTTTTAGATATTTATCAAGTGCAAATTAATAGAGAGGATCTTAGAAGCATGGGACAAAAACGAGAGTAAACAGTAAGATCGTCAAAAACAGTAACTTTCGCGAAATAATATAAGAAAAATATCAGAATTCTAATGTCGTAATTTGATTGCAGAACCAAGGAAAATGGTATTCGTCAGGGCTATATGGGACATTTAATAAATATCGCGAACAATATTGTTACCCAGTGCGAGAAAAGTAATATACTGGCCAGCTTTTTGAAGAACAATTTGTCACCCGAGTGTCTTAGTAAATGGGAAAATCTTGTGAATACACAATTGATGGAGATTAATAAAGTTCATCAAACTGTGATGATGGTATGCGTTAATGTAATAAATTTTATATATACTATTTATTTTTTTCTACATCACGCGGTAAATGTATCATCCCTTTAAGGAATTAAAATAACAGCTAATTTTAATTACAATGGGATTTTTAGGGCGATCGAACTCCAATGTACCTGATGAGCTCCGAGGAAAATCCGGACGAGTTTAATCCTTACTCGCAGGAGATATACGTCCAACAGGTTAGCAATTAACACTTATATATTGATATATAATAAATTAATATTATACATTCTTCTTGATTTATCGTGCGATATTCTTGGTATTAGATGTACTCCAATTATCAGGGTCAACAAATAACGCCTCCGTTCATCGAAAACTTTGGATTCCACGACGACGAGTTTAACGATGGTGACGATGCGCTTCAGTAAGTGTATATATATATATGCGATTTAGTTCTCACATTGTTAAAAAAGTGATAACGCTACTAGGGTGGGGGGCAATCATAGGGCTTGCCATGAAGGGAGTTAAAAAAGCGCACGTGTAAAGAGAGCACAACGTAATATCATCATTGTCGTTTCTCCTTCACTGTTCTCTTTAAGAAATATAATATTATAGTAATCCAGTTGACCAATTAACAACGTTGGCCTTTACTCTCAGTGAAGAAGATCTCGACAAGCGGGAAGAGATGTTCAATAAGGTAAATATTTACTTATCAAATGAAACACTTGTTGTATTATATTCGAAACCGAATGAAAAAATGAATGTTTTGTTTAAAGCTGTGCCAACAAAAACAAAAAGCCGGGCTTGAGGACTGTGGCAGCGGCCTAGAATGGGGCGACGAGGGCGAACTCACGTTCCAGACCGTGGTGGACAAGCGGGATTGGCACTCCAAGCAACAGCATCAAGACTCCAGTTCGTCGGACGAGGATGACGAAGATCCGCACGACGTGCACATGGAAGTCGACACGACTGATCGTATGTTTCTATCAAAGATTTCTGTATTAGTTGATATTTTCAAGTATTGTTTAATTATTTTATCGAAATAATTAGCTACCAATTTCGTGAAATTTCAGCTTGGGATACTACCGAGCCGCTACCGAATACCGGTACCATACTTCCACCAGTTAATCCGTGGGATGTGGCGTCATCAGAGCCAGTGGAATCCACTGGTTGGGCCAATTTTGAAAATTTTGAGAATACATTGAGTATAGAGAACACAGCAGGCGAAAATAAAAAGACGATGTGCGACGAGCTTAAAACGGCATCAGAAACGACGGCTGCAAACTTAACAGAGAAGGATATGGCTTTTAGCGAAAGTTTTGAAGAGAGCGACGAAAAAAACAGAGACTGCATAAGTAATCAAGTGATTGGAACGGATTTACCAGCTATGGAAACTAACCTCAGCAGCAGCAGCAGCAGCAAAATCGATGAGAACATAGTGATCTCCGCGGATGAGAATATCAATTCTAACAAATTGCCGGATAACAGGTATACAGGTTTATACAGCATCTGACTTTGTCGAGATTAGAATATAATTCGTTGCAAATTCGTGTTGTTAATTCTAGGAATTTCAAGAGCGAAGAGAAGATCGAAAACGTAAAGGACGTCACGGAGGACGCCATAGAGAAGGCAAAGCCGTCGATTGAACATGAAGTTTCAATAGCAACAACTTCTCTGAAAAGCACGTCCGCCGACACCGCCAATTCCATGTCAGTGTCTAAAGACGCTAAATGAAATGACGTATCCCGCTGCCTATGTTAGATATGATCTATGGCAATAGGAAGAGAAAATCATATCAGTATCGAATCAAGTACGTGAGAACGATCGGAAGCATATACGCCTTCTCTATTTTTTATTAGACACCACGTTAATTATGCTTTAAGAAAACGTTAAAGCTGGGCGCACACTGCAGTCACGCTGCAGAGTATTTCTCTTCGAATAAATCCGAAATGCCGAAAATGATCGACACGCTCAACTATAGTGAATAATTTGATGTTTATTATAAATAGGTACATATATCCCTTTCCCCACTCCATCCCTTTTTCTCTACGAATGGTTAACATTTACAAGTATTCCTCGCGAAAGTGAGGGCCCCTTCCCCTATCCCGTATATATTTTACGGTTATTATTAAGAGTTTCGTAAATTGTTATTTATACGTAGATAACTGGTCTCTATCAAAATAAAAAAAAAGAGCAAAGCAAAGAATGGACACGACAAGAATGAATCGCAATATTGCGATTTTTGCGCAATTTATACAGGCAATTTATAGAGCACCATGACAGAGAGAGAGAGAGAGAGGAGAGGAGACGAGACGTTATAAATTTCGCCGGAATCCACTCACGACGTGTAATCGATTTTTCATGAGACATCTAGTACTCCATATACATTTGTACATTATAGAAACGTGAGGGTAGAGAAACAAGAGAGTTGTTGAGAACTGTAACGCTGTTTGATATATGTAAGATTGGTATTCTTCACGAACTGGTGCTTTTGCTTATTCCTTCGATAAGGCAAAGGTACTTAGGTGCAGTGCCTACTGTCGTAATTGAATGTACGTTAGTTCAACAATGCGATACGAGCAGAACAAAAGAAAGAAAAGAGAGAATCGAGAATATTTTTATTACCTTTTGTCGTAATATTTGGTCGAAATTTGTACACTATACTATATTATTAATCGGGGCTGTCGAACTTGCGCGCTTATTTGCATTCCAATAAAAAAAGAGAAAAAAGATTTCTACGTACGTTTAAACGACTGTTAAAGTCTTTCACGAAGATCTTCCACAAATAAATAGCGTTAAATTGCAGAAACTAATATGTGTGTTGCGCATGCTCTCCGACCGAGCTAACTTACTACGTATATCTATCATTCTGCGAATTATGTTACCTGATTGTTCCGCGACTTTCTTCTGCCTCGCAGGTTTTGCAGCAGCAATGTGTTTATAGCGTTGTACACGAAATATATTGTTCATAATTAAATGATAAAATAATAAAACGTTTATTCTAAATCCCAAAGCGCTCGTCTCACAGCATTATATAAATTTGAAAGATCGAAGTCTTTATAAATTGCATGCACATTATATTGTTACACTTTGCATTTTATATATCTTTACGTTGCAATCTTATACAATACATAATCAGTAATTTACTATGTACATACATCTACTGAAAATATCGTCGTTCCATATACGCAATTTTTACAGTAAAGTGATTTGTCATTTTGATTCTCGCTTCCGATCTCCATAAATGCGTCTCAAGTGCGTAATTTTGTAACTACTATATTCGCTTCGAGATAAAAATATTCATTTTAATCCTTACTCGCAGGAGATATACGTCCAACAGGTTAGCAATTAACACTTATATATTGATATATAAATTAGTATTATACATTCTTCTTGATTTATCATGCGATATTCTTGGTATTAGATGTACTCCAATTATCAGGGTCAACAAATAACGCCTCCGTTCATCGAAAACTTTGGATTCCACGACGACGAGTTTAACGATGGTGACGATGCGCTTCAGTAAGTGTATATATATATATGCGATTTAGTTCTCACATTGTTAAAAAAGTGATAACGCTACTAGGGTGGGGGGCAATCATAGGGCTTGCCATGAAGGGAGTTAAAAAAGCGCACGTGTAAAGAGAGCACAACGTAATATCATCATTGTCGTTTCTCCTTCACTGTTCTCTTTAAGAAATATAATATTATAGTAATCCAGTTGACCAATTAACAACGTTGGCCTTTACTCTCAGTGAAGAAGATCTCGACAAGCGGGAAGAGATGTTCAATAAGGTAAATATTTACTTATCAAATGAAACACTTGTTGTATTATATTCGAAACCGAATGAAAAAATGAATGTTTTGTTTAAAGCTGTGCCAACAAAAACAAAAAGCCGGGCTTGAGGACTGTGGCAGCGGCCTAGAATGGGGCGACGAGGGCGAACTCACGTTCCAGACCGTGGTGGACAAGCGGGATTGGCACTCCAAGCAACAGCATCAAGACTCCAGTTCGTCGGACGAGGATGACGAAGATCCGCACGACGTGCACATGGAAGTCGACACGACTGATCGTATGTTTCTATCAAAGATTTCTGTATTAGTTGATATTTTCAAGTATTGTTTAATTATTTTATCGAAATAATTAGCTACCAATTTCGTGAAATTTCAGCTTGGGATACTACCGAGCCGCTACCGAATACCGGTACCATACTTCCACCAGTTAATCCGTGGGATGTGGCGTCATCAGAGCCAGTGGAATCCACTGGTTGGGCCAATTTTGAAAATTTTGAGAATACATTGAGTATAGAGAACACAGCAGGCGAAAATAAAAAGACGATGTGCGACGAGCTTAAAACGGCATCAGAAACGACGGCTGCAAACTTAACAGAGAAGGATATGGCTTTTAGCGAAAGTTTTGAAGAGAGCGACGAAAAAAACAGAGACTGCATAAGTAATCAAGTGATTGGAACGGATTTACCAGCTATGGAAACTAACCTCAGCAGCAGCAGCAGCAGCAGCAGCAGCAGCAGCAAAATCGATGAGAACATAGTGATCTCCGCGGATGAGAATATCAATTCTAACAAATTGCCGGATAACAGGTATACAGGTTTATACAGCATCTGACTTTGTCGAGATTAGAATATAATTCGTTGCAAATTCGTGTTGTTAATTCTAGGAATTTCAAGAGCGAAGAGAAGATCGAAAACGTAAAGGACGTCACGGAGGACGCCATAGAGAAGGCAAAGCCGTCGATTGAACATGAAGTTTCAATAGCAACAACTTCTCTGAAAAGCACGTCCGCCGACACCGCCAATTCCATGTCAGTGTCTAAAGACGCTAAATGAAATGACGTATCCCGCTGCCTATGTTAGATATGATCTATGGCAATAGGAAGAGAAAATCATATCAGTATCGAATCAAGTACGTGAGAACGATCGGAAGCATATACGCCTTCTCTATTTTTTATTAGACACCACGTTAATTATGCTTTAAGAAAACGTTAAAGCTGGGCGCACACTGCAGTCACGCTGCAGAGTATTTCTCTTCGAATAAATCCGAAATGCCGAAAATGATCGACACGCTCAACTATAGTGAATAATTTGATGTTTATTATAAATAGGTACATATATCCCTTTCCCCACTCCATCCCTTTTTCTCTACGAATGGTTAACATTTACAAGTATTCCTCGCGAAAGTGAGGGCCCCTTCCCCTATCCCGTATATATTTTACGGTTATTATTAAGAGTTTCGTAAATTGTTATTTATACGTAGATAACTGGTCTCTATCAAAATAAAAAAAAAGAGCAAAGCAAAGAATGGACACGACAAGAATGAATCGCAATATTGCGATTTTTGCGCAATTTATACAGGCAATTTATAGAGCACCATGACAGAGAGAGAGAGAGAGAGGAGAGGAGACGAGACGTTATAAATTTCGCCGGAATCCACTCACGACGTGTAATCGATTTTTCATGAGACATCTAGTACTCCATATACATTTGTACATTATAGAAACGTGAGGGTAGAGAAACAAGAGAGTTGTTGAGAACTGTAACGCTGTTTGATATATGTAAGATTGGTATTCTTCACGAACTGGTGCTTTTGCTTATTCCTTCGATAAGGCAAAGGTACTTAGGTGCAGTGCCTACTGTCGTAATTGAATGTACGTTAGTTCAACAATGCGATACGAGCAGAACAAAAGAAGGAAAAGAGAGAATCGAGAATATTTTTATTACCTTTTGTCGTAATATTTGGTCGAAATTTGTACACTATACTATATTATTAATCGGGGCTGTCGAACTTGCGCGCTTATTTGCATTCCAATAAAAAAAGAGAAAAAAGATTTCTACGTACGTTTAAACGACTGTTAAAGTCTTTCACGAAGATCTTCCACAAATAAATAGCGTTAAATTGCAGAAACTAATATGTGTGTTGCGCATGCTCTCCGACCGAGCTAACTTACTACGTATATCTATCATTCTGCGAATTATGTTACCTGATTGTTCCGCGACTTTCTTCTGCCTCGCAGGTTTTGCAGCAGCAATGTGTTTATAGCGTTGTACACGAAATATATTGTTCATAATTAAATGATAAAATAATAAAACGTTTATTCTAAATCCCAAAGCGCTCGTCTCACAGCATTATATAAATTTGAAAGATCGAAGTCTTTATAAATTGCATGCACATTATATTGTTACACTTTGCATTTTATATATCTTTACGTTGCAATCTTATACAATACATAATCAGTAATTTACTATGTACATACATCTACTGAAAATATCGTCGTTCCATATACGCAATTTTTACAGTAAAGTGATTTGTCATTTTGATTCTCGCTTCCGATCTCCATAAATGCGTCTCAAGTGCGTAATTTTGTAACTACTATATTCGCTTCGAGATAAAAATATTCATTACGATTAGGAGAATTCATCTTTTTGATGCGGTGGATCGTACAGTGATATATCGACTCTTTCGTGTCTGCAAGGTGTAAAAAAACTTGTAAAAACATTGAAATTATATATTCATTATACGAAACAATCATTTCTCGTTAACGTGTGAAAGATAAAACAAAACGTCGTATTACCTTTCGGTGCTTTCGCTAGTCGTTGTGTTATCCGTATCTGTAAGAATTCCAATCTCGTAGACTACGGCTTTTATCACATATCTGAAAACGACAAGAGATATTTGCAATAGTGTGTATAATACGAATCTCATTTTTTCTTCTTTCGTGATAATATTGTCAAAAATACGTTAAAAAACATTTATGTATATATATAATTTTTTAGAAAAAAATTACACGTCAGTGTTGGCCGCAGTTTCCGTCGAATTATCTGTTGAATTATCCGTCGAATTGACCGTCGAACTCTCGGCTATCAAATTCTGGTACTCCTGCGTGAGATCCGGCAACGGATTTGCATTCACTCGTCGCAACGTCATTAATGATAATGATGATATTAATACAAGTACTAAGAGCACAATCTGAGACGGCCAAAAAAATCCACATGCAACGGCGCGCGACATTTTAAAGTGACAGAGACTTTAGACATCTTCATCGCCACTTTTATAGCGATGATTCTCTGTCCCTCGTTAACACCACCGCCTTATGTACGTAGATGCTTTTGCATTACGTATTCTCGAACTGTTCATAAGTGGTAGCGGAAAATTTCCGTGTCCGATTGCGCACGAGCGATGCAACACACGATATAACTGCGTTAGGAGTCGTGAAGGTAATATATTATGTTTGCAAAACTATTAAAAAAAAATGGATATTTAAATTAATCGGAGGTATTAGAAAAATTTCAAGGATTTTTGAGCTTTCTTTTTCATAAAAAAAACGATAAATCTTTAATCGTATTTAGAGAAAAAGATATAGCGCGCGTGCAAATAACTGCATCAGACTTTACAAAATGTTTCTGCGATTCTTTTTTTAACAAAAACTGATAATGAAAATATTACACAGATAACTCGTTCAAGGCTTTCGACAAGTTATTCATGTACTAACGGGACATGTACATTTTTCGCAATAATTTTGACGCTTTAAAAGTTCTCAACAAAATGTAAATAATGTACACAAATTTTAATTTGAACATATTTCCTGATTTCGATACTTGAGCAAAAGTATAAAATAGATTGTCGAATAATTTTTCAAGGCAATATGTAAGTCTACTCTCGGTTTTATTTTTGCACAGCGCGGTAATTAAATTAGCGCAGTTACGCAAATAAATCGAATCAAAAAGCCATTCGGTATCTCACATCAGTTACCATTTTAACATGTCATAAGGCTAAAGATATCATATGTGTGTGCGTATCCTTGAAATATATATACTCAACATGTTAAAATATTAAAAACACTGAGAAAATATCAAATAAATAAAAACGCGATCGAGACGTAAATAAAGAGTAATTTTTTTTTCTAAAAAAAATTACAGTCTTATTTTTTGATTTTTGCTATAAGTAATTTTACACTGTAAACAAAATATATATGTACAAAAAATATATTTTTTGTGAAATAAAGAAACCGTGAAAATTATAAAAACATATATATCAGTTATAACGCGATTAATCGATTGAGATGAGAACTTACATTCTATTAGCTCATCTTAGTAAATCACAGATGGCGCTGACATTTTGTTCCGCGCCGCCATAATGCCCGGTTGTTCGCATAGGTTATCTTGTACCTCGTACGTCGTATATTATTTGAATCATAACTTGATTGTTTACAACAGTTAATATTTGTCACGAGACGCAAGTTTTTCGCGTCCAATGCGTGTAAAATATTGTTGGAATATTTACAAATCATGACGACTACCGTGACGGATGTACAGCAACCCGATTATGGAAAATATCAGCAGATGCAGGTTAGGAACCAAGTACTCTTACTTATTTATATGTAAAATAAATGAATTATAATAATATATACACTCATCGATGCCGACGACAATAAAGAAACAAAGCAGTTTTTTACGTATTGTTTAATTACATTTCATTTATTTATATCTAGATATATAATTGATTGTACCAGTTATACACAGAAATATATATTTGTACGTTATAAAATATATTATAAAATATACACACTTTAAGATATATCAATTTGATGATTTAAATCTAATGTAATTGTATTGTATCGTATAAATTGTAGAAAGTAGAGTTGACACCAGAGGAGGCAAAAGCTTGGCAGGCATGTGTGAAAAGTTCTAGTGTCATAATGCCAGCACTTGTCGGTGCAGCCATTGGATACGGAGCGTTAAGAATAACCCCATTTCGCGCTCAAGCGAAATACGCGGCTATAGTTGGCAGTGTGTTTGGCCTGATATCGGGCAGGATGGCCATTTCTCAAATATGCCTAGCGAAAGTTGCATCTTTACCAAACAGTACTCTCAGGGATAGATTAATAGAAGCTGGCTATTATGGAAATAATAGACCTATGAGGTATTATCTCTGAACAATTTAATTTGTTTATGTCTATATATATATATATATATTTGTCTCTTGTCGAAGCAGATCTCATTTGTCTTTGTTTATAGAGAGGGACAGTATCAAGGCTTTCAACCATTGGATGTGCAATCTGAAATTCAGAGCTCGGATGAACCATCCACAGCAGTAGTATTCAACGATTATCCGTCAGTGAACACAAATGATGGATATTCTAGTTTTAACGATAGCAGTGAGTTTTATAAAAATTATCATCAAGTATTCTACATGGCTAATGCAATAACTATGTAAATTATGTTTGAAGGTGATTTCCACATCTCCGAGGATACAGATCTAACTGAACCGGTAAATTTGCAAAAAGGCACTAGTTACGACGAGTTGAGGCACAAAAATAGGGACGAATTTTATAAGAAAAACAAACAATGGTACACTCCTAGAACGCCAGAAAGACCTCCATTAGCGAACGAAACGAACCAACGGGTTCCTACAACCAGCAGTACTTTACCGATGCAGGAGAGAACTAAATACGGTGACGTGTGGGGTTAAAGTCAAATCGTCAGAATCTGTAATCTTTTTCATTACCATGTATTACGAATACTGTATGTATATATGTAGATTATATTTCGAATTATATGAATAAGATTAGGAAAAGGAAAAATTCAAATCTTAATTAAAAATATATAAAGAAAATAAACGATATGAATCACGTTCGCAATAATAGATATCGATATAACAATCGGATGCCAGGCGACGATTTCAAGACTCACATTCTTAATTATCTAAGCAATACGTGTTGAATGATTCACGAGTTTAGATGGAAATATGAGACGTAATTCGTGCATCGCTGCTTGTAATTGAGTCACAATCGCGAGTTACTATGAGATATAGCAGCAAAAGACGGCTATGAGCCGGCTAGGCTAATTGATAGATGACGCCAGCCCGTAAATGCGCGTAAACGCAGGTCGCGCGAGGCGGCAGCTCACAAAGCGGCGCAATGTATCTGTAATATAATGCTATGTAACATCGCGTGCACGCGTTCTCGTCTTCATCGGGATATGGTGTCATCCCCGCCGCGTCGTCACCTTGACGTACCCAGGATAGAACTGCGCTCACTTCTTTGTCATAAGAGCGGTCGCCGCGCGTCGTCCGTTCCCTATACTTTCCATAAGTTATCCAATAATTACCGTTCGGTAATTGTCGTACGAGCAATGTTGCACCCTTCTATCCGCACACAATCTGCGAACAGATTTGCAACAACGTCTGCGAAGTCGTTACATTTCTTCGCGCGTATATATTGTTCACTCTAGTCTCACTCATACTCGGCAATTATCTTTACCGCCCTCTTGTCATTAAGCGACGTATTCATCGTCGCGGAGAAATTGAAATTACTATCTTGTCTCGTCAAATTGCGATCTTAATGCCAGCAAAATTAATACTTTGTTCCTTATGTCATTTCTTTCGATTCGCGTGAAATTCCTTGTTGGAATTACAATTGTAAATTGCTGAATGTCCGGTCGATATCGACGCATATAGTAATCAGATATAAATAGCCAAATCGATAATAATATTATTTGTACGCTATTTATACGATTACCAAGCATGTCTCGGAGTTTGAGTTATAACTTGAAGCGATCTCACGATTAATAATTTTTGTCAAAAGAAGTCAGTAGCACACAGTAATAATAGAATCCGGTTAATTTACTTCAATATCTCGTCTCGATCTTTTCGCGGGAATATCGACGTGCAATACATGCACGGTCGCTTCGCATCACTTGCCGCGAGCGCGGGTCGGCAGCCATTGGCTATCGGACGCGACCAATGGGCGAATACTACTCCCATTCATAAGTCGCGTTGCTTCCGCGGAGCTCAGCGGGATTAGAATTAGGGAGGGGGAAGCGCGCGCGCAGGGCACTCTGCGTCTGGTCTCGCGGCTAAATTCTGACCGGTCAGCCGTGCTTGTCATTCGCGCGCGCGCTCCCTCACCGGTAACCGGTTCGGCTCTTAATTCAACTTGGAGCTTTTTAACCCTAAAAACTTGACATTGTATATTCTACGATACATGTCACCACATTTTATCATGCAAGCCTGGTCATTTCCTGTTTATAGGTAAATAACTCTTTCTAATTTAATTTATTCAGATTGCGATATATATGTTAATATATCTAATAAATTTAGTTTTTTTTTGTATCTATCTTATAATTATTTCTCACTTGCAAACAGTGTATTCTAAAGAAATTATCGTACAAAAAGAGTATTTGTATTGTATACTATATTTGTGAAATTATGAATTTTATTTTTCATTGTTCTTGAATAATTTAAAATTTGCATAACAAGTTCGCGATTAAAATGGACATTCATGCAATATTAAGTGCTAAATGAGATTGTAAGCCTCTTTTAGAAACGAGAAATGAGTATTTCCGAAACTTGTAGCCACTTTTGTGTTCATTATCTCGTTCCTCACGGTAATTCGTTTCCCAGGAAACATCGCTCAAAGAATGTAATTCGCGCTGTGTTACGTATATTCCGAATTACGAGAGACTCCTGGTTTCAGGAAGCTCGTTGGAATTTCGACAGCGATTTACACATGTGTATAATATATATATATATACACACATCTCTCTGCGCGCGTCACGATTCACGTGCCTGGTTAAACGATCACGTGTAGAAAGGGGAGTCACGCAGGTGCAGGTCATGTGAAATATTTGCACTTTGTCGTAATTTGCGTAACCCATTGCATATATAATAAATCCGCGCTGCACCGGAGAGTTAAAGCGCCGCGATAGAAAATCGTTTCACAATCTAAAGAGAAAGGGAACCTTTCTGCCTCGTCGCGGATCAAAGGTAGGGGGTGGAGGGAACGAGAGGTGGGAGAGAAAGAGCGGCGTGGAGAGATGCATGCTTCTCTGTGTATACGATCGCGCGAATATATCGCGAGAAGAGTCGCATTCGAGACAAATTGAGTTGATCAATCAACGGGCGTCGCGCATCTCATTAACTTATGGAAATTTCGGTAACTCGTGCTTGTTTCTCACAAGTATCCTTATTTGTAAGTCGTTTTCAACTTCGGAATGATCGATTCAAATTGTTACATTGTTCATGAAATAACGAAATTATTGATAAATATGGAAAAATTATATTATCGCTTGTCATCTTTAATATATAATTTAATAGAAGAAACAAAAAAATGTGTAAGAGAAATAGATGCAGGAATCCAAGTCGCAAGCCATGTAGCATGTACATTTTTCCACTTGAATTTTCTCATTATTTTTTTAATGAATCTTTTCGTTTTAAATGATGCGCGATTTCTGTCAATCGAAAATTTTCACTCTACAGCTTTCTTATCCTGTCGGAGATAAAGTTACGCGATCGAACCTGTTATATATTTTACTTTTATATCGTATCGTGTAACATTTTATATATATCATATGAAATTCGCGCCTATCGTAAAGTTAATGCGCGCCAACTTCAGACTCAATCGCTTTCTCGCGGGTAAGGTAGTCTCGTGCGACGCTAGGGACATGCGCGTTTCTCGATTCGCGTTCGCTCTCTCAATTTGCGCGATTTATCGCGTCTCGCGTCGGCTTCGCGTCGACATTGTACGTCGAAAGGGTGAGAAAAGGCGTTGGTGAACGTCGATACGCGAGGGTTGATTCGCCGGAGGACTCGACGCGATGGAAGAAAGTAAGTGCGCGGGAGGTACCGAGGTACGCCGTAGGGTGGGGCGGGGAAAGTGGCGGGAAGCGGGAGAAGAACGTCGAGAGAAGTGTGCCAAAGTCGGAGGAGGGTAGGAGAGTTCCTCACGATAGCTCACGTCGATAATCGCATCGATGTTGAGACGCGCGGGCGGCGTTCGCCTCGCGTGTGATGCGGTGGGAAAAGGACGCGACGATTCGCTGGACGTGCGCTTGATCGAGACAGCGGAATCATAAGAGATTGAAGGTGAGCGAGTAGAGGGACCGAGGAAACTTACGGGGCAAGAGGGAAAAGTGTACGTATACATACGCGTATATGAATATACTCGGCGGAGAGAGATAGAGAGAGAGAGAAAGAGAGACTGAATGAGCGAACGACCCGGGAAAAGAGAGAGCAACTGGGAAGAGAGAGAGAGAGAGAGAGAGGCGCTCGCTCGGTGTCGGGACGGGGGCGTGCGCTCGATGGCCGCCTAGACCGCTCGAATCGGTCGCGCCCGGGGCGTGAGCCAGGCGCACGAGACCGGGAATGAGCAAGAGAGAGTACGGGAGTATGGGAGGGAGTGAAAGAGAGAGCGCGCAAAAGAGAACGCGACACGCTTGCCGCGGAGGGCTGCGTCTGCGTTCGCCAGGCAGTTACTCTGGAACCGTTGCCTTGACGACACGCATCCACGCATGCGCGTACGCGACACTGACGGTGCGCGATGTGAACGACGGTCAAAGAGTTGCGCGCGCCAGTTTCGTCCGTCACCCTTGGTATCACCGTATCGTTTCCACCACCATCGCCTTCACCGCCACTACCATCGCCGGCCACCACCACCACCGGTGCCACCACCCTCGCCTTGTAAGTCTTCTGCTCTCTTTCTCTCCGTCTCTCTCCCACCCTTTCTCTCTCCGCCCTCGTCCTCGTGGTCGTTCGGACACGCGCGCGCGTCAACGCGTTAACGGGAGTGCGCGCTGTCATCGTGGAGAAACGTCATTTCGCGGATCCCGTGGCGGCCGATCAGCGGCACTCGATCGCTCGCGTGCGCGCGCGCGCGCTTTTTAACCTCTCTGCGGGAGCGCATCCTTTCGCGTCTCGTGCGCGGTATGTTAACTCTGAAAACGATCTGTACGTGGGATCCGTCGCGAGTGTCATTTAGCCAGCAAGGCCAACGAAAGTGTTCCATCTCGACAAGTGGCCGTTTTTAAGGTGAAAAAAAATTGTCGAGGTATAAAGCGGCATCGAACGACGATGTCGAATCGTTGGAAAAAACATTGTCCTATAACAGAAAGATGTAAACATAATCATTGCGTAATGCGCGGAGAGTGATTGGAGTCGATCGGAATAATTTCGAACTTCGTCCGATGTTTTCGTTTGGAAATCACGTCGCGAGAACTCGAAGAATACCGTCGATGATCCGTGATTCAAACTCGAGATCGAATTCTTCTTCTTGTTCGCGTTACGTGCTTGTCGATATACCTAACGAATCTGTTTTTCGCAGGACGCAATGTTCGCAGCGACATTCAAGGAGCCCACGGCAGCCTCCTGGTGCGGGATAGTGTTCCGCGTACGGAACTCGCTAAACTCGACGCGCGGGACGTCAGCGCGATTCCGATGTACGTGACTGTCGATATCGTGGAATCTGGTTAGCGCGAATGATAGTAGTGCTTCGTTCTTCTTCCTCGATTCATCCTGGAGAGAAGACAGATCCAGAATCTCTGAAGGAAAGACATAATCAAAGAGATACAATCTTTTTTTTTTTCACCAGGACGCATCAAAACGTTCGTGGATTGGATGGTGCTTCGGGAGCCGCGACAGAGGACAATCCGGAGACGATCCGAATCGATCCGTCGCGAAAGATGGTAGCACCGCATCGTCCTCCGCTTCGCTCCACCTGAAGAGACTCGAGACTCTAGACTCCTTCCCGAAGATAAGGATACCGATCTCACGGGCCGTCGGATATCACGGATACGGCGCGAGCGGCGGCGGTCGCAGGTTGGATGGTGCCGCGAGGATTGATCCTCGGCAGGACGACGACACGGGAGCCGGAGCCGGAGCAGCTACGCTTTTACGACTCACCGTCGCCGCCACTACGGATGGACGCGAGTGTGTGTTGCTTGCCCGCCGGTGCCGCCGCGGCCGCCACGGGGGTCGTCCAGCATCTCACCAGGACGCATCAAAACGTTCGTGGATTGGATGGTGCTTCGGGAGCCGCGACAGAGGACAATCCGGAGACGATCCGAATCGATCCGTCGCGAAAGATGGTAGCACCGCATCGTCCTCCGCTTCGCTCCACCTGAAGAGACTCGAGACTCTAGACTCCTTCCCGAAGATAAGGATACCGATCTCACGGGCCGTCGGATATCACGGATACGGCGCGAGCGGCGGCGGTCGCAGGTTGGATGGTGCCGCGAGGATTGATCCTCGGCAGGACGACGACACGGGAGCCGGAGCCGGAGCAGCTACGCTTTTACGACTCACCGTCGCCGCCACTACGGATGGACGCGAGTGTGTGTTGCTTGCCCGCCGGTGCCGCCGCGGCCGCCACGGGGGTCGTCCAGCATCACCACCCTCATCCGGCGTCGCTGCCCGGTCTGCCGTCCGCCGTCGGCGTCCAGCCGCCGACGATACAGCCGCCCTACGTCGCCCAGTACGCCGCCGATCAGATAGTGCCCGATCGGGCCCAGCCCGACGGGCCCCTCGCGGCCGCCCTCGCGGGATGTAACGCCCAGGACGGCTGGCAGCAGATCTCGTCGACGGCGCCCGTCACCGCCGCCGTCGCCACCACCACCGCGTACATCGACTACTCGTGGCTGCAGATGCAGGTGAGTAAGTCTCGCAAAAGCCGAAATTCACGGTTACATTTTAATACTCGTTCTCTCTTCTCTCGTGCAAACACGAGGACGAGGAAAGGTGTGTTTCACCTGATGGATATTTGTCGAGCCGATAAAACCAGGTGCGCGAAAGCGCGTCGTATCGCTACGAATGAGGTAGCGCATGTTAATGCGATAACATTTTCATTCTAACATATATATATGATAATATAATAATAGAGACTTTGTCGTGTAAGAAATAATGATGAGAATAAAGCGGCATACTCTTTCGCATGAGTAAATATTACTACTATATGTGAATGAATCCTCTTTCACTGATTTAAGAATTAAGTGATGCATGGGAGGAGAGAGAGTGAGAAAATCTGAGCGTCTCGATGGAGTGCATCCATCGAGAAAACGTTAGTTTAATCGAGAAAATTACAAGAGCCTGTTTATGCAAAAACTTTCGTATTCCTGGCAGAAGCCAAGTCTCGTCGATTAAGCGTAACTTGATTCGGTATTCAACGTGTACAACGCAAATGTCGATTTAATTAATCGGTAATTGATGGGTAATCAAGTCTCGCTTACAATAGCAAATCGCACGCATGCCGATTTCAGGAGAAGAGCTATTCAATTTCTCTTTATTACAATAATATGTCATTACGATCGCGCACGTGTCACGTGTCACTCGGCTGGCTACGCCGTCTTTTAGTTTTTGTCGTAAATCGCCTGCGCGTGTAATGTTATTATAAGTTTCCAACGAGGCGTATAATAGCCATAATTTTTTTCGCAGAATATATTAATTACCGAGCGCTTCTACGCTTTGATAAAAACTCGGTCGGTCGGATCCGAATCGAATATTTAATTAATCCTTCTCATTTTATTTTATCATTTATTCGAGCGTCGCGATTTAAATGATTTGTTTCAGATTCGTTTAATTTCGCGCGTTAACATAATTTACATCGGCGATAGATGTATATATAATATATGAGTATGGATAGATAGTGGATCGAAAAAATGATGGATATATTTACGTTCTTAATCATTCGTCAATCGACTCGGCTCGGCTCGGCTCGGCGCGGCTCGATGATAATGTATCAATTCCCGGGAAGCGCTAGATCGTAAAATAATAGAGCGGAGTAATAATACCCATTACTATTATCTCGGTACGAGTGAGTATATTATGTGTTCTCCCCTTATAGACGTGGCGGCGTCTCCGCCACGTAAAGCTACGCTGTTGACAGGGTAAATATCCTTTGATACCGCGCCGTCCGTCTGGCACACGCGTCGTACGTCTCTCCTCTGCCTTACACGGAGGAAGTTATCTATGTGGCACGCGTGTGCGTGCGTGCGTGCGTGCGTGCGTGCCTATGTTCGTGCGATCTCTCACGCCACGAACGAGAGCGTGTACTCTTCACATTACGAAGGCTGTTTCGCTTGTCGTTAAGACTCCAAGATTTTCGTAAAGACCGCTATTTCGTTAATGAATTTGTTGGCTTTATATACGCGGAGTGGTATTTCATAATATCACTGAAAGATTGCGGTTTTTTCGTTGATTTGAAGGCAATTTCTTTCCTTTAATGAAAATGTCGAGGGAAACGTCATTTCTTGTAGCGATTTTTCAATTTTTAATATATGCATTTTTTTATAATTTTAAGTTAACGTGTTCTGTTAAAAAGTAAAGCGTTCTTGAAATTAAGGGAAGAATGTAACTTTTTCATTTATGTCGTATCTTAAAGCTTAATTAAACCAGAAGTTTTTTAATCGATTATCCGAGAGAATTGTAAACATTTAAATATTTTTTTTTGTAAAGACAATATTCTCGAATCGATAAAAGAATCTGCAGTAAAAAAAAACGTACGCTGATTTTGAGAGACGTTGTTTATATTTCTTTCTTGTTTCAACTCATGTGAAACGTGTGTCGATAGCAAATTTGTTTTTTTCATGATTTTGTCTATAAAATATCTCGATAGAAATTTATATCATGGGTTCTATGCAATCTCCCGTATTCTCGTACGCAAGTCTCACGATTTTTATCGATCGCGACAGATTGACTACTGAAATTGACAACGAAATCGATCAATCGAGTATGGAAAGTTTTTTGCTCGCGATGTTATCAAAAGAAAGAACGCGCGCGAGACGACGCGACGGTTCGGTCTCCAAGTCGAAAAGCCGGTCTACGAATTTTGCGAACACCTATTACAGAGCCTCCAACCGGAAACCGGTTTTTTTTATACCGTTACCGACTCCTGGATACCGCGTTTTTGGCATGCAAAATCGCGCTTCGTCGCCAAGTATCGAATAGAGTGTTTGAATCCCAAAGGAGAGTGTGCAGAGGAAGGAACAACCAAACGTTGAAATAAACGCGCGAGAATCTGAAAGAGAGAGAGAGAAAGATTTTACAGATATTATTGATATCGAACGCTATATACAAGCGCTCTGTAAAATTATATGTTCATATTACATTTATTTCCGGAATCAGAATTTAAATCTAACAATAAGAGAATCCTGTCCGAAGAGAGTGGACGGATTTGGTTCTATCAAAAATATACGAAATTAAACAAGAGAGAGAGAGACCTCTCTCTCTCTCTCTCTCTCTCTCGTTTAATTTCGTATATTTTTAAAATTATAATTTTCTTCGATACGAGAGGGAGATCTTTGTCTAGCTTCATATACACATCTCGGTCTCACGCTATCGGCGGACAGGAACGCTCGACTAAATCGCGACCGGTAATTAACCGATACCCTCGACACAATCTAAACGCATCGTGCGACGCGTGTAAGATAATAAGCGGACGGAAATCCACGATTATTGTGCCGCCCGAGCCAGAAAGGACATCCCAACCACCACCGGACGAACCATTTCCACGGTTCACCGCCCTTCGTTTCAAAACTGCGTACGATTACCGTTCCGCCGTCGATTATTTCAGTCGCTGTACAAATACGAATAAAAGGAAGGGGCGATGTGGGAAGGGGGGGGGGGGGGGGAGGAGGCAGAAA